TGGTGCCGGAACGTGGTGCCGGAACGTGGTGCCGGAACGTGGTGCCGTCGTCCCCGCGGTGTCGCTGGCGCTGAGGGAACCGCGTCCCTTTGGCGCTGAGGGCGGCGGGGCGGGCGGCGTGTCCGGGAGCGGCAGCGGCCGTTGTGGCCTCAGCGCTGTGGCCCGGTCCGCTTGGCGCTGGGCAGGGCGGCCAGGCCGGCATGAGCCCTCTCTGGGTTCAGGCGGTCTCTTAGGCAGTGTTTAGTTCATCCGTCGCTTTGGTTTTTCTTCAGGCCGACAAGCTGTTGAAAGCGCTGAAGCAACACTTCCAAGGAAGAATGCAAGAAAATGAAAATACGGTAATAGATGATCAAGCAGCCCTTCTTTTTCAGAAAGAATGCTTTAGTGGTGTTAATTGTAATAAAAGTACTTTTTCAGGGGCACTTTTAGTTTAACACGCTCATGTATTAATAGATGTGTGTGTGAATGTTTGACATGCCCTCCTGAACAACAGAAGGCATTAATTCTGCCTGAAGTTTATTTTTTTTAAGTATCAATACAAAATTATTCCCTGTAACCACTGACGTTTAAACTTCTTCATTTTATATTCTATACTAACTAATCCCAAAGCATTTTACATCTGCAATTCACTTACACTGACATTATAACAAAAGCAAAAAAGGCAGCTGTGGAAAGATCTCATTGTGGCCTTACAATATTCAAAGGGAGCCTATACACACGAGGGAAGTTAGTTTTTTACATGGGTAGATAGTGACAAGACAAGGGGAAATGGTCATAAACTAAAGGAAGGGAGATTTAGATTAGGAAATAGATTTAGAAGTTTTTTTTACTGAGAGTATGGCGAAGTGCTGGAATGGGTTGTCCAGACAGGTTATGGATATTGTGACCTTGGAGGTTTTCAAGGCCGGGTTGGAAAGGGCACTGGGCAATCTGATCTAGTAGTACTTAATCTAGCAGCTGGCAACCCTGCCTGTAGCAAGGGGGTTGGAACCTGCTGATCCTTGAGATCCTTTCCAACCCAAACCATTCTATGATTCAATACAATTGATATTTCTTTTATTCATTTATATTAGTTGCTTTTCTTATTAAGTTTCCTATGAGCCAAAATATTGCATCTAACACTTCCTTATGCTTTTGATAAATTTGTGTCTACTTTTTCTAAAACAGCTCATATTAAAATTTGCCTTTATAATCTACTTCTCTAAATTCATGAGGAAATTGTGTAGTCTTTTGTGGCTTGTATGTGTATATTTCTGTAGGATAATTTTAACAGATTTTGGAGGATAGCAGCTTCGTTCAAGTCAGATCTCAAATACTAAGTGGCTGTTTACTTTTTTGTATAAGTAGTCGCTTACTGAATATAAGTACTGCAATTATTTCATTACGTAGCTTTTCCATGGAGATGTAGTTAAGGCGTTTCAGGAAATCTAGATATTGCCAAGTTAGTTACTGTACTACTTAAGTGTACTTTTGCTTTTGTCTGTGTGAAGTGCCTTTTCCAATAATAATGTTGAAGCTGTCCCTTTAGAGCGCCTACCTGCTATATGTGCATTCCATGTTATGGTACTTTTCTGATACAGAATTCTGAAAAAAGCGTGCCTGCTTCAATGGACTCTGAACCGAGCTGTCAGCAGGAATTTATGCCTAATCCAGCACGTTTTGTCACAAAAAGATGTAAAGAAAAGAAAGCAACCAGGAAAAAGAAGAGCTCTGATATGGAAGCTAATGACAGTGAAGAAAATACAGGGCCCTCTGTTGAGAAGGAGGTAATTTGTATTGCTTTCTTTTGTGTGTCTGCGTCTTGCAATGAAACCAGAGATTTAAAATAAATAAATAAAGGCTTGATTAATTCTGCTACCAGGTTAGCAGGTAAGGGTTTCGTTTTTGTATGTAGGTGTACAGAAAACAAGAACTTGTACTTTTTACCACAGATCTTGTCTAATTGGACTGTATGCTACTCCACAATGAACAGAAATGACTTATGAAATTAGTCTAAGAAAAGAAAACCTTCTGAGGAAGTGCATGATTACTACACTGAGTGTAGGACTGATTTCGCTGGCTCATCATAGTATACATCTGAATGTTTGGAGCTTCACAATTTGGGTGGGTGAGTGGGTGAAGTCAGAATTGTGCAGAAAACTTAATGGTAGGGAAATGGTGACATGAGAGGTGTTGGTCCTTTTAGCAGCATGAGTAAATGAAAGCCAGTGGTAACTACAGCTGTGATAGTCAAAAGTAACATAGCAATTGAATGGACTTTTTCTTGAAAATAATTTTGTTAATAGAAGAAACATTGTGCTAGAATGTTAGAAACTGTGCAGGTAAAAGCCTTAATATAGATAATTACAAATATTTCCTAGGTTGACTTACATTGTGTTTCATAAAGCCTCTTCCTCATTCTCTCCCTGAAAGCAGGGTCAGCTATGAGGTTAGATCACAATGCTTGGAGTTTTATGTGAGCTGATTTTTTTGTAGAACTCTTCAGCATGGCTGTTACCCCACCTCTCTGGACACACATTTCGCTGACCAGCTGCTCTCAGAACAAAATCCTTTTCTTATATTCAAGTGGAACAAAGAGTTTAATGAAGTATGCTTAACCATAGGGGCATTCTGAAACAAAGGAGAATGAAGTGCCTCAGGGTGATTGTGGAAAGGAAAAAATGGCATTCCAAAATGTGGACCAAGTTACTAAAAAAAGAGCTGATGAGAATCCAAGCACAGCTACTGCTGAGAAGAAGCAGCCAAACAGGACTTCTAAAAGCACTAGAGCAGAACGTAAGTAAAAACTTCCATAAACATAAGCTTTGTAGTACTTTAGATTTACTACTTAGGTTATTTTTTGTCCGCAAATGTTTTCAGTGAAGGAGTCTGAGTGTATTTGATCCTCCTGCTGCTTTGTTTAGGATCAGCGCCTTCTGGAATACACCTGAGATGCCAGTTTTTAAAGGAGCCAAATAGCACAAAAAGTGAAAATGCCTCAGTATTAATTCTTTTTCTTTGGGTGAATGGGCTTTTTCACTGCCTTCTTGGGAGTACAGCTAGTATAAAAAGATATGCAGGCAACACCCTTGTTAATTTGTTAACACACAGATGCTGTTAGGCAGTGTAATGGTGGATCGCTTTTGTATCTGATAAATTTTCATGACCTTAGAGCATGATGCTGCTGAAAATATGGACTCGCTTCTCTTCCACTCTTTTGTGCATGCAGCTGAACTAGAGAGGAATTAAGTTTGTCTTCCCTATCTTGCTTGATAGATTCACAAAAAATTATTGGACATGTACCATTATTTGCCTCCTGTTAAGTGTCGCAGTCCTTGTGATGTACCATGGGTATCTTTGCTGGTTGATAGAATTTAAAGCCTTTCTTATTAGAGGTCATATGTAACTTTAAAGCTAATTAAGAAAACAAAAGTTTTCTATGAAGCTTCTTTTAAAAGCAAATAAAATACGTAAAAAAATGCTTTGGCTGAAGCAGTACTAAAATTAGTTTCACATTGACACTTGAAGCAGTGCTAATCTCTTCCCATAACTGCAACCACAAGTATCTGTATTGCTTTAGTTTTTATTTTTTTCCTCTCAACTGTAACTTCAGATGGTAAGATAGCTGTTGTTGGAAATAATCCAAGTAATTTTTTTATTACTTTTAATTTTTTTTTTTTTCTTCTCTCCATATTTGAGTTTTCCTATTCAAAGGCAAATAATTTTAGACTTTCTTTGGCAAAACCAGGCAGAAAAAGGTGTACTTCAAGTCCAGAACGGTAAACCCCACCTGCTTATTCCTTAGCTTGGTTAATAAAGATATACACCATGAGTTGTATATATTCAACTTTTCTATTAATTGCTCTCAAACCTTGTACCAAACTATAGTTCTTGCCATCCAATTTTTCATTTGCAAGATTGGGTGTTGTATTTGGATTTCTATCCAATTAGTAATCCAAAATCCAAAAAGTTATTTTTATTTCTTTTATCCTCCTATAATCTTGTATCCTCAAAGGGCATTGCTTTACCCTGGTTGGGCTGGCTCCCATCTTTAACTTAACTTTCATTGGGCTGCATTTTAGATTCTGTCAGGCATCCCTGATGCCTGCAATCCTGTGTATACCCAATTTAGGATTTACGTAACTCCTGGGAGTACGACATTGCTTTTCCCAGTTTGTGTTAAAGCCAGACTTAAAATTTTCAGTCCACTGGTCTTGCTTGACAAGTAGCTCCAATTATCTCTACTGAATTTGATCTCTACATTCAACTATTCTAACACGTCATGCCCAAATAATTGTTTTGGAGAACCTGGCATGTACAAGAATTTATATATTCCTACTTGTTCTCCTAGCCTGTATTTAATTGGTCCAAAAAAAAAAGTAAACTTCTCTTGCCAGTAGCTGCTACAACTATTACGAAAATCATCTACAGGTATAATTCTTGATGTAGCACAGATAAGAGGCACCCAGAGGTACCAGAAAATAAACCTCTTCACCCTGCTTCCCCTGCTGCTTTCAGTCCTGGCAGGGTAGAACTCTCCCTGTGTCCTTCCAGGCTCCTCTTACCTCTTCTTCTAGGTAAGGACATCCCTGTTAACCTTGCTCAACTTTGCCTTCCTCAGTTTGTTTTTCCCAAGCCCTTTTCACTTTCCAAACTCTCATCATCACAGCCATTACTAACATTGTATTTCAGTTTCACTCCCTTCTCTCCCCAGGCTTCCAGTGCTCACACTGGATATCGGGTTTCCCCAGCTCTGCAGATGCCGGCTATTCTCACTTCCAATGTCCGTCCCATCCCCATTCACAAGCACTGCACCCTTCACATCACAGCGGGAGGCTCCCCCACTTCTTTCTCCCACTCCAAGTTGTTCTTATAAGCCGCAGTGGGGGGGGTGTGCGGGGATGTGTTCTCCTGCCGGCCCAACTCTAATATCCCAAACTCACTGTTTTCCTTAACCTTTTTGCCATTTGTTTGTTTGTTTGTTTGTTTTTCCACAATTCCACTATTTGTACCCTCAACTGCAATTCCACATACCATTAAAAACTGCATTTCCACATACCATTAAAAACTGCATTTCCACATAATTTCCATATACCGTTAACAACTGCATTTCTGCATACCATTAAAATTGCATTTCCACACAATTTCCACATACCATTAAAAGTTGCATTTCCACACAATTTCCACATCCCATTAAAACTGCATTTCTGCATTTTCATATACCATTAAAACTGCATTTCCACATAATTTCCACATACCATTAAGACAGTTTCTCCTAGTGCCTTCAAAATCCACAAATCAAACAACACAATTCCTCAACTTCCACAACCACCCAGCACTTGGTCTCATGATTAGGATACTCAATTATACAACTGGTCCCATTACTCCATTTACGTTCCTGGTTTCTTATTCAATATTCCCCCTGGCTCACCAACAATGTTTCTCCAGTGAGCCAAAATACAACCCAAGGGGTCTTCTCATATCACTTTAGACACCCCTTGTTCCATAACAGCCTCGTACACAACATAACACAACACCTTCAGGACATAAACATTTAACAATCACAAAGACAGTGACAATAATCAGTACAATTTATCCTCAGGATCCTTCCTCTCTCTGCCTCCCTCCAGAGCCCAACCTTCCCTTTGTATTCATTTCCCACACTTGCATAGCTGCCAACCTCCTTCTCCAATAATCAACATATCAATGATAAACATCATTTCCATCCATGAGTACAAATTAGGCCCTAGAAATTGATCTAATTGTTCTGCTACACTTATAGGATCCTTAGTTAAGGAATTCTTCTTGCAACTCCTAACCTCTCTGCTAGTAAAAACAGCAGGCATTACCATACCCTATTTCCCTTTGACCTAAGACTGCCTTAAGAGGACAAAGTGAAGTATTAGTAAGGTTAGTGTTAGAGAAAGGAAAACTCTCCAGGTCCCATTCGCATTACTCCAACTCCCTCAGTAATTGAGAGCGCATCCTCTCTCCAGGACCCTGCACAGATCAGCAGCACCCACTTTCCTCCTCTGGAGAGGTCACCGCCGCTTTAGAAATTGCACTGCTTTAGAAATTAAAGGCGGGGAAGTTATCTAAGGGATCCCATTTATGATCTTTCTGCTTCTCTTTCCCGTTTCCTTTGAACTTGGACTCCTCGCGAGGAACATTTCTTTATTTCTTGCACTCATTAAGCGACCTAACCCAAGCTCCTGAGATACTTAGGACTTATCTACTTCAAATGAGGTTTTATTTCTTGAAACCTAAACCACTTTGAGGCGATGAGGTGTGTTTTGCCACAAGTGCTTTAATAAAGAGCTATAGTGATGTTGAAATATTTTTCTAGTAGTTGTAATAGTTTTGTTTAATCTTACTGTGCCAGGTGATCCTCATCCTGGAGGACAGAAGATTCCTATGTATGTTGGTGGTGCATCTAAGCCTGGGAAAACAGGGCTGAAAGCTACTACACCAAGTAAGATAATCTTCCATGCTTAAAAAGAGAAATTATTGCCTGTGTATGAAGAGAGATGAATTGCAGGTTTTGCAAAAATACAAATCTGGTTTCTATGAACTAAGAGGCTGTCTTCTCTTTAAAAAGCAAAGCAGAAAAACAAAACAAACCCAGAACACCAAAAATTACACTGATATGTATCTTCCCACTTGTTTATTTGGTGTTTTCTGGATAAAACACTTACACTTGGAGTTTTCAAAACACCAAAGAGTAGGAAGGTGTGCTCTGACTCCCGATTCCTACTTGTTTTTTACTTTATCAATACTACAGTTGTGATAACAATTCATCATTTTGTAGAATACTCACTTTTTTTTCTTATTACTTGACAATGGAAGTATTTATCTTTTTTCCTTTGACCCTGGAATTCTCTAGAGCACCCACCATGTAACCGTGTTGCTGATGTAGATGTTGTTGCATGCTATTCACTTACCTGTGGGTACCCCAACCTTACTTAGAGGAATATGCTATGGTCTTTGAGGCCATAACAGTCGGTGTTGTAAACTTTCTGTGTTGTAGAAAGCTTCCTTAGGAGTCTGTTAGATGCATGACTCCTATTACTTTTGGAACTTCTTAGACTTTAAAAGGCTGCACGAAGCTCACTTCAAGAAAATGGAGTCCATTGCTGATTACATTGAGAGGAAGAAAAAAATGCGTGAGACCTGCAGTAGTTCCCTCAGTGAAGCCAAGGTAAGTGCTAACAAACAAAACTTTCATTGTTGCCATATTTTTACTTCCACAAAGGCTCTCCTTAAGTTTCCCACAAAGCCTCTTCAGAACTGAGAAGCTGGCCTTGTGCATATGTGATGGAGCTCTCTGATTGGAGTCCTGTGTAACTGGTTCTATGCAGTTTCTGTAGTAGTTTGATGTAACTTATTTGTTAATTGAGTATGGTTATAAATAGTTATAGGAAACAATAAATAGTTTGATACCCTTGTGTAAAATGTAATTCACGGTTACTTGTGAAAGGGTCTCCTGGAACTTCTGGTAACAGGCATTTCTGAATTGCAGCAGAACATAACATGGGATGGGTTGTTTTCCAAAAAATAGGGATTAAACAAAGGGTTTTTTTGTGCTTTAAAGAACCTTTGCCAATGACTACATACGTTACCTACTAATCCTTTAGTAGGTAATGTGTAGCTTCCAGTGGCTTTGAGTTAGTGCACATCTGACACCTGTAAGGGAAGCTTCTTTCTGGGCACGGCAGTTTTATGAAGCAACAGCAATGTGTCAGTGAATAGATGGATGTCACTGGATATACCAAAATAGTAACACTGAACTTCTGAACGTTACGTTTCTCTTTCTTTAAGGCATACAGTGTATGAATGTATGCTTAAGAGAAGTGATTTTGGCAGATGCTGGCCAAAAAAACCCAAATCATTGAAGGGCACCAGAAAAAGGCACTTTGTAGCACTTCTACAATATATGCTTTCAGATGAATTTAATTGTGTAAAATCTTAAGATTAAAACACTTCCCTCCTGTTCCCTTTCAAAGCATAAGAGACGGTGTGGTTGTCATACACACTATAGTTTCCCCACTTCTTAACTGCCTTCTCGATGGAAAAACTTCTAGCAGATTGTGCTGACTCCCAATTTGCTTTTCCCTAGAAACACAGCAGTGGCAAAACGTTGTTATTCAGCCCCAATCCAGAACGAGGCAGATTCTCTGGCACCTGCACTCCCAGTAACCTGCGACGCTCACCACGCGGTTTGCTGAACACTGGAAGTCAAAGTATTTTGCCTAGGAAATCTTCATTTAATCCTTCTGTTCTCTCAACAACCAAAATGAATGTCAGGTAATAAGAATGAAGCTGTCACTAATGTAATATGACACGTTGAAAATAAAAAACGTAGACGGTGATTTGACTACTTTATTACTATTCCAAGTATGACCCAGGTACAGATAGAAAGCTAGGCTGAAAGATAGAACTGACAGCTTTAGGCAATACAGTAAATGTTTTTATCTTGATTCTTTATTTAGATGTTTGACTGCAGAGGAAATTTGTCTCACTTCCAACCTTCATTTTCCTAAGCAAACCAATCAATATTTTTTTTTTTCCCTCTCTCACTGTGTAGGCATTCAGTTTTGTCAGCAACTTAATAGTGTCTCCTATATTTGGATTAATTCCTCTTTGAGATGATTTAACCAGAGCTTTATGTAGTATCCCAGGTGAAACTTGCAGTGACTTCAGATACTCTGTGCCCATAGCACAGTAGGGCTTCATCTTGTGATCAACTGATATAAGTAGGTTGCTTTTAACAGATAGGCACCAAACTGATGCCAGAAAGTCATAACGACTTGCTAAATAAATGAGCTGATGTTATTAAGCCTCACCTTGTTTACATTTAAGATACTATGCATGCTTCATTATTTTTATAAGTAAGCAGTTATATTAACATCTCCTGATTATTTTTTTTATTATAAGTAATTCTTTTAATAGCTTAATAGTGATTTTTCTGGGTCTTGAGGAAAAAAATCTTCTTAAAGAATTGAAAATACAGTCCCTAAAAGTATTCTTTTGCACGTTTTTCTTTTTGGCAAAAGCCATTTTTTCTGCTGTTTTTCCTGGCTTCTAATTGTTGTACTGACACCAACTACTTGCTTTCACTGGGCTTTCTACAGCAGCTGAAGTTCAGATTTAGACACTCTGTATTTTGTACTTATCACTCTACTAATGACAGGTGAATCTTGTGTCTCTATTGCATTCCTTTGAATTTTTCTGATAACCTTCACTTCCTAATAGCTGTGTGCCAAGTGAATAATTGCTGGGACTATTTTTTGGTCCCTGAATAAATACTACGCATGTGGTTTTTTTCTACTGTTGAGTCAGTACATCTTCCATTATTGACCAACTCCTAATGATTTATTTACATTATTGGACTTGTAACTTTTCCTATCAAGTTATTTGACTGTTGAGAATTCAAGACCAAACGTTCCTTGAAATATCAAACTGAATCCAGATGGCTTTGTTTCTATTTTAAATGTGCAATTTTGATTTCCATGCTTTTTCTTCCTATTATCCTATTTCAATTACTCTGTACCACTTTCTTTCTTCCTGTGGAAGTGACAACAAACAAAAATAACTCATTCTGTCTCTGTGCTTCGTGTTGCATGTTTTTTTACTCCCTGCTGCAGCCCTACTTGATTCTTTCACAGTGCGTAAATTGAAGCTCTTTCAGAATTTATTTCCATGTCATTTGTCCAAAAATGTAATGGAATGCAAATGCACATCCACGAACTTGCTTGAAATACAGTTCTCTTCAATATTAACTTTTTTTTTTCCTGTATCTTGCAGGCTTTCAGCTCAGTATCTTTATTGATGAGACTATTAATTCACAAAAGATTTTAAATTTATTTCATGATCTCACACATGTATACTTAAAAATGTGTCTATTTACATTTGCAGCACACAGTTCTTAGTATGCAGTTAGTTTATTGCATCCAAATACATTTGATTTCTGAAATAACAAGATAGTCACCTCTTTAAAATTTCCACTGTTATTTACAGTTGTTAATGATGGTTCACAAGCTGAAAATTGTCAAAGGTATTTTTAGTGCAGTTTGTTACCTGTGAATGTCTTTGCTAGTTACCAGCTTTATTGTAAGTGCAACACTTGCTCCTTGTTTTGTGACATTGCTTGCATTCCTTGCAGGTGACTTTTCTTGATTATCTCTAACTTTCAGGTTCTCTGAAGCCACAAAAGATAATGAACATAAACGTTCTCTTACTAAGACTCCATCTAGGATGTCTCCATACGTGGAAGAGATCTGCACACCTGACAGCCAGAAGAGCTGTGAACCCCTAAATGCAAAAAACAGCAAGAGAAGCACGAGAAATAATGATCTGCCTGCATTAAAGGGTAAAGTAGTTACTAAATACTTGTCTCTTTCACATCAAGACATGTTTTATTGAATGTTTGTATAACCTGTGGACCTGTAACCTAATAGATTACACATTTCAATTTAATCCAGTAATGAATGAGTGATTCTTTAGAAACTGCAGTAATTTATTTCCTTCAGTTTCCAGATTTCTGATTGTCACTGAAGATGCGGGCTTGATGTCTTCTCAGAGGTCTCATTCTCCTTGTAGGATGCACACATCTTAAGACAATCTGATATCATCACCTCAGCAATCCTAGTTAGTTTGGAATCCAAAACCCTATAAAACCCTGTCTGTAGGGAAAATAAGTCTTTTGATCACTAGCAATCTGCAACAGCAAAGCATTGCTAAGAATTGATGCCCCAGCATCACTAAGTACATCAGCTTTAAGTTCTTGACCTCTCAGTATGTATGACAATACTGATATTCTTTTTGTTGGGGTGGCAGCTGGAGGTCCCACTGCTGATGTTTTCTTGTCTTTATTCGTTTCTTCTCCTTAAATGTGAAAATCCTCTTTTCCAAACAAATATGCAGAGACAAGGAAATAATCTATTTCCTCTGAAGGACTAGAAAAATGCAGGGGGCTGTATATGGTATTGCTTAGTCATTTTAGGGGAGTCTGTTTTGGTATCCCAGTTGTTATTGTAAAGGTAAGAATTGCTATCCTAAAAGAACAGAAATGAGCTTAGCAAAATAATTGTCAGTTTCTCTCATGCTTAAAAACAGATAAGGGTAAAACTGATAAAATCTTGTTTTCAGTATATGGTTTGGGGCACCTCAAGCAGCTGAGCTGAGGAACTAACATCTAAAGCATAACTTAAACCTCAGCACAGAATCAGTTTGAGTGAGCCATAATACATTCCTCTCTGGCTACAGAACTGTGTTTACAAGTTTAGTGTAAGTTGTTAAGTGGCATGAAAGACAAAAAAAGGCTGCATGTTCTCATTAAAGCATGAATGTCCAGCCTTTTGGCTTGCCTTGGCCACACTGAGTGAGAAGGAAATGCATTGGGCTGCATATATGTAGATTACTCCAAAAGTAATGCCTCCTATTTAATTTCTTTGAAACCTCAATGGATGAAAAGAGCACAGTGGCACTGTTTGATAGAGCAAATTCTCAGCTACAAAATGCTATTTTTCAACATAATCACCATTTGCTCTGCGTTTTGCAAGCAATGAACAAGCACCTACATGCTATATTTGTTTGGTTGTTTTTGTTTTTGTTTTTTTAAAAAAAAAGTCTCCACACACTCTTCACAACTGCTGTTTGGCCTCCATAAGCATTCAGCTAAGCATCAACAAATGTGAACGTGTGCTGCTTTTTCCACAAGGAGGAATTCATTTCTACACCTTTGCTTCCATGGCAGCAGAGGGGTAGTCTGACAAACTGGTGTCTGTCTTGTTGTTGTCACGCAACAACAAGAAGTAATGGAATATTGGTGGGAAGGTTCCACCTCTGCTGCTGTACCACCAACATCCATGTCTGACATCATTGGCCAACATAATAAAATAGGAGGCATTACTTTTGGAGCAGCCCTTGTACAATATATACTGTAATTAACACGCATCAGTAACAAAACATTTAAATCTTAATATTTTTTATTAAAACATAACAATTGAGAGCAAAAGAAAAACACCAGTGGATGTTGGTTTTGCTAAACTAATGCATTAGCCACGCTCAGTGGCAGAGCTGTACTTCTAGTGAGGAGATTTCTGATGAAATTTTACTCCTATGCTTCATCCTTGAAAGCACAAGAGTTGTTCACAAACTGTTTACTGCCAAAAAGGCGATGGCATGAATAAGACATGATGTGAAGTCAGAGGTATTTCTCTCTGGTAAGAGTGCGTGCAGAAATCCAGCAGAGAGACACGATCAGTTTCAAGTTGAGCATCTGATTGCAACTTTATCTGTTTCATTTGAAAATGTACAGAACACACATTTATGTTGACTGAAAACGGAAGTGCAAATAGACCAAAAAAATTGATAATTTTTTTGGCAGTCTTGAAACCTGTTCTCAATTCTTTCATCGAAATGAAAAGCATGGCTGCATTTCTTTGGCTGTTCACAGGACTGTTTAGCCAGTGTGTCAAAATGCAGGAACTTATTTGCTGCTCCTCGAGCTGGCACTGCACCACCCCCTGTGCCCTGGTCTCAGCACAGATGGGGTTAATAGCACAAGGCTGACTGGTTGTTGCTGAGTAATGGCTGTGGAGCTGCTGCCCTGATGGTGAGGGGCTGGCTGTGCTGTGAGCTGTGTGGAGCAGATACAGTGCATTGCCACATAACTAATTCACTTACCTACTCATGGCTGTAGGCTGTTCCTCTTGCATCAACAGTGAGAAGCTACTAACATGACATACAGTGTTATGTGTGCTTTTAGATGTTAGTAAAGTGAGAGTTACAGTGTGATCAGTGAGTCCAGGGATTCTGAACTAATGTGAGAATGACTTCAACTGACCTGAGGTGTAGCAGATCTGCTGCTTACCAGAATGCTATCTAAAATCAGAGCAAAAAGGTATTTCACGACTTCTGCCCTCTCTGGAAGCTTCCTTTTGCCAGTGAGCTGTTTGCAATTTCTTCTTTAGTGGCAGAAGGCAGTGTTTAATAACAATTTAGTCTTGACAGTTGTCACATGGTCCTCAGATACTTCCTGAGTTGCTTTGTACATCGATGTTCCTGCTACCATTAGTAAATATGATATCTTGATGCCTTTTGTAGCTATTACCCCGTTCAAGTTCGCAGCTCAATCTGCAGAACCCTCAAGTACGAAGAAGATATTTGATCTCAAAGCAAGTCTTTCAAGGCCGCTTCGGTATCAACCACACAAAGGTACTGTGATCATGCATTGGTAGTGTTATTTATAGCAAAGTGTTCATAAAATAAGCCACTGAGCAAACCTTCTACATCGTGGTGTGAATTGGCTTTCTTTTTTTTACCCTATTTCTTGAGATTTCCACATAGTTTGTGCACTGATATGAAAGTCCTACTTTGTGTGTTCTGAGAGTCTCCCTACTGGAGAAAAAAATCTCTAACAAAAGTTTCATAAATAGAGTAGTAAACATTCTTGTATTATGTTGGATATACAGAATATATGGATAATTCTGTACACAATAATGCTAGCTTAAAAAGTGCACTTTCTTAGGAAAAGCAAAACATCTGAAGTGTTTGTTGCATAGAGACTGCTACCTGGAAAACTGCTCATAAGAAATGGGCTGATGAAGCTAATGTATTATGCAGCAGAAGAGGCATTTTCTCTCAAAGGAAACCATCCAAGGAGAAGCTAGCTAGTGTAAAATTCACAAGAAGTTGTTAAGCACGCTGTTGCTAAGCTGTAGTAGTTCAGTATCCTCTCTTTGCCTCTAATTTGTAGGACGGCTAAAACCTTGGGGAGAACTTAAGGAAAATGCTCCCCCAAAGAGGTCTGTCAACAGCAGCATCACTTCACATAAGAGAGACTACAAACAGCCACATCTCCAGACAAGGTCAGTACAACACTTTGTACAACAGCTTTTTATGAATAGTGTCATTTAAAATAACATCATGACTCGATTATCTCTTTGAGCATTAAAATATACAGTTCAGGAAAGAACACTTTTTGTATTCATATTGTAGTTCAATACCTATCTAGCAGCTATGGACTTGATAGATCTCCTTCTGTGAGAAGCAAACAATTCCTGCACTGGGTGATTTATCTCAAAAGAAACTGGGTATTGATGAGTTGCTACCTTGAGTGCTAGACCTGTGCATCTAAGCTTAAGTATTTCAACTGAATCTAAATATTCAGACTAATGTCTCACTGGAGCAGTCTTCTTTTGCATAGCTAATGTTGCACACTGTTAGAACAGGTATTAAGCCCTGGTTAACTTCATATTTCTGAGGTTGCTTCTATTTTTACTCTTACTGTAATCTGAAATGGTCTCTCTCCTTTTTCTCCTTTAGGGAAGACAGGCGGGAGAAGCATGAGCAGGAGAGAAAAAAGAAGAAAGCTCAGGCTCTTAGAAACCGTAGAGGACTATCTATGGGTTAGGTAAAATCAGAAATAGCTAGGATCTCACTTGTAAATACTGTTTCTCTCATGTAAATATTTGTGCTGTTTGTGCTTCAGAGTATGGGTCAGGTTGTTTATTAGCTAGGTAGAATCCACAGATGACTGAATAAGACCTTACAGTGCATCTGAGCATAACGTTTTACTAATCAGCTCCTAAGCTCTTAAATGTTTAGAACTCTCATCTCCTTGGAGAACTGTCTCTAGCTGCAGAACTCTCCAGTTGGTTACTGATATTTTGTAATGTTGCTATGTATCACACTATGTATCTCATGTAACTAAAAGATGTCAAAGGAGAAAAGGCAAGTAGGAAAGAGATGCTCGTGGAACCTCCTAGTAACTTGGTGCAGACTTCACCAAAATGTTTGTTATCCACTAGAACGCATAGTTTGGATTGCAAGCTTCAAAACATTCCACTGGTCAATTAAAGGAATTGAGATATCTGCTTGCTCTGCTCTCCAAGTGGATCCTTAAAACCTGTAGCAACTGTTCAGTGTGTCCTACCGTAGATCTGTGAAATGGTAGGGAATCTCCAGGGAAAGAAATACGCATGCTTTCTGGAAATCTACAACGTTTACAGAAAACTACAAGGCATAGCAGAATTATGAATTTTTTTTTTAAGTAAGTTCACAGATGAAAAGTGGCTTTACAAACCAGTACTGGATGCTTAGATCAGTTATGGTTGGGCTTGGTCCTTTCTAGAATAAACAGATGATTGAAAAAAACAATTGAAATACTTCGAAGATGTTAAGAAGGGTGAGATGTTTAAATGCCTTAAATGCAAAAACTAATGTTATTTAAAAAAAAAAAAAAAAAAAGGCTCAGAAAAGCTATTTGGATGTGTTATGGATGAAACCGTGACTGGAAAGGTAACTCAGCAGTTGTAATCTCAGCAAATACTTGTACTTCAAAAATACAAGGTGAGCAAATACTTCAGTGCTGTCATATCAAATGCTGAAACATAAAGCTTAATTGTTTTTATAAACCAAATGGGGGGGGAAATAAATTTTTTTGTACATACCTTGTTTATTACCAGTTATCTATTATGACTACCTCTTCCTACCTCCTTAGTGTAGCACCAGTTCTGTTTGCACGTTACTCAGTTATCTCTGAACAGATTTGTTTCTGTACTGATTTGCCTGCATACCCTTTTGTGAATGCATTAGTGTTCTGACACCATTAGGAAATATAAGCTTTGCTCCCCTTCTGCTCTTAATCTAAATCTGTGCAAGAGGAAACTGCTGATGCAAGATGGTGTCAACTTGCTTTGTTGTGGTCTCCGTATAAGGCAGAGCTAAGATTAGTTTTTTTAAGGCACATTTAAGGAGGGGACACTAAATGATGTCAAGGCTTTGACTAGACTGTTTGTGACATCTGAAATGAAACCATTCAGCAATTGTTCTTTAAAGTATTTCTTAAATTACTGAGGATGACAAAAAAGAGGGGTTGGGGAACTGAGCATTTGCCCCACCTCTTGACACTGTGCCTTTCTGCAACACAGTTAACTAACAACACTGCAGAAAAGCATCACCTGTTCTTCCTGGGCCATAGGCTGTGGGTAAGAGTGTTAATAAAGCTGAGGTGCATTTCTAAGGAATTGCCAGTGCCTGGAACCTTACTTCTGTTTAACAGCTTAGTCTTACTGCTTTGTAGCTCTTATCACCCATAACTCTAAAATAAGAGCTAAATCTGCTTCAGTGCTACTGTTTGCTCATGGCAGCAGCAGGTTTTTCTTTTAGTTCCTTACGGTGCCAAAAGTTCAAGTCTAACATATTTCAGGTCCTGTTCTTTTGTAAATTTCAGAAGCTGTGACACACTTCAGCAGTATTATCACTGTATTAATTCACACTGTAACTTCTCCAGTTACAACCTATTTTTCAAGTCTTTTACAGCCCTATAAACAGTGTATTAGAAAATCAAACTGAGTACAAAAAACCAACACCACATTGACAGAATACTTTTATTCCCCTAAAGATCAGGACAAAAGTTAAAATGTATTAACTCCTGTCTGGGTACACAGTAAGCATGTACTGCAGCTCTCAGCAGGCTGTATTCCAGTTCCTGTAGGTACAAGCTCTCAGCCTGTTGTTGGCAGCTTGATGATGCCAACAATGTCAGTCTAGTCAGATTACTGAGTCAACACTTCATCCACTTAACATTTAATGTTTACATAATTATAACAACTTGAAGGATATTCTCACACTTTAAGTAAGCAGCTGATGAATGTTCCAAAGGACACAAGACCAACTTAGATTCTAGGATTCCTTTCATATGTTTCATAGGCAAATTCTTCTGTGTGAGCTCTGTCATTTAGCAGGCCAATAAAATCAATCTCCAGCTGGAAGGGACCATCTACTTTATCTCCCAGTGTGAATCCAAGGGTACTGATCTAATAAGGAGATGCATACATTAGAATAAAATCTTAAAATAATGTTACAACCTGTAACTACCACTTCCACATCCTACAAATAGTTCACAACAGTTCAGTTTAAAAGAGGGGTATCTGCTCAAAATGCAGCAGTATCTACAAAGGCACAAATGCTTTATTACTACATTTTCATTACAGGCTCCAATGGGATTCACAGGTGCTTTTCTACCATTAGGTTGAAAAGTATTGAAAATGGCCTGACCCTAGTGCAATACTGGGATTTTCAGCCTTCGAGGTCTGAATGTTGTCAATTTGGTCACGATAAGATGAATTAATAACATACTTCTGTCACTTTGTTTTAACAGTTCTAATATGAACAGGAAACACAAATGGAATGTAATTAAGGATAGATGGAACTTCCATTCCAAGACTGGCCTGGTACACTGTGAAAGTGCCCCCAAAGCAAACATTTTGAAAAACACAAAACTACTCCTGAATTTTATATCACACACTGAGTTATTTAGCCATAGTTTTCCAGTTACAATAGCATTTTTCAAAAGAATATCCCTCATTCATTCTCAATTGCAACACTAATTTATTTAATAATAACTCTATTCTAATTGTAATAAACTCCATACAAATTCCTGGAGCTCAGACATGTCCCCCATTAGGCTGTAGCATATGCCTTGAAAGCCTTCTGCTCTTGTCCATCGCCAACCTTTCAGAGACTCCAGTGTTACTGGTTCTCAAATCAAGTTGGGTGATAAATAGCTGAACACCTACAGAGCTCCTGGTATTTTAGGGATTAGGGAATCTGTGCTGGAAGTGCAGGTCTGATCCATACCCATGACTTTAAGGGCTGCCGTACATGCAGGAATGTGTCAGATTCAAGTTGAATAACTGCATGCTGAGAATTTGCTGAGAATTGAGGATAAACATAAGTTGCACATGCATGCTAAATAAGTAATAGAGTAAAGCTAAGGTGGTAGAGCAGAGTAACGCTCCTCACATTGATTCTAAGGATTCAATTGCTTTATCTTCTCCAGAAGTGAGCTCTGCGATCAGCTCTTGGCTTGTGCAGGCTACAGAAGTTTTAAAGCTTTCTGTTACAGGTGACTGCAGGAGTCACCTAAACTCTGTGTTCTGAAGAATTTATCCCTTCGTAATGCCTAGATACGTTGCCTGTGATACATGCTTGCTTTTATTATTTTTGGCAGTACTGTGCCAAATTGCATTTTAGATATCTCAGTCACTTTGATCATTCCTTTAAAAAAACTATTTATTTTTTAACAGACAAGTTATCTAAATCTCTTAAAAATATCTGTGGAACTACTTTGAAGTAAATTGACACTGAAATCACAAAGTAGGATAATTTGTATGCAAAGGTATGCACACAGGAATAAATACTTTAAAACAAGTAGAGACTCTTATTGAATTTTAAATTTAAAACCACTGAATATCCCAAGGATTTCTCAATTACCTATACAACAACAATACAATCCAAAGTATGTTTCTGACAGATTAAGCCTATAGAAAACTTGCCTTGTCTAACCAGATAGGGTGTTGGTCATCCTGTACTCTTCCTCGACTGGACAGAAAGAATTTGGAGAACGGAATCTGACAGAAGAAACAAAAGAAAAATGGACTTTAGTGTCACCAGTCTATAGAATAAAACCCCAAGGGAAAAAAGAAAAACAAACAGCTGCCTTAGAAAATGAAATAACACCAAATCTGGTCTGGACGCTCGAGGGTCCAAAGAATCAGTGAGAAAAGAAGTGTCACCCATTAGCCACATGCTGCCAGCTCCAGCCCCACACTGCCCTGTGGCAGCCGTTTCCAGCTGTCGTACTGGATTCTGAGCCAGCCAGGGCACAGGAGAGGCTGAAGCATGGAAGACAGCCGTTCACATCTAGAATATCTCCTTCAGGCAATGTCAGCTTAAATTAATAAAAAGTCTAGGATGCATTGTAAGCTCACCGACAGCTCATATACATCCAATCTGCATATTTTGTACTGCAAATTTCATTCAAAGACATCAATATTCTAGCAAAACAGTTCACAAAAATATAACAATGATACAAGAGAAGAGAACTGGCTGGTGTGGGTGAGGAACACGCACAGGCCAGCAGTGACACACTTCAGTGTCCTCAGAAAAGAGCTGAAACTCCCACTTCTTGCCAACGTTACTGCATGTCATAGATTCAAAGCTGTGACTAACAGCCCACATACCTCTGAGGCTCCAACTGACTCCAAGTTTGGCAAACCACACTGCAGGGTAGAAATCTTACATCAAGTCCATTTATTATTGCAGATAAAATGGTAATTGCATAGAAAGTTCCTGGCACTGCCTGCAAAGCTCCAGTAGCTGCATCTGTTCAGTGCACACTCTGACCACCCACTGTATGAGCTAACTATGCACCCTGCCTGGCTGCTTGTTTGTTTTCCAGTGTTAAGAAAAGGCGACCCACGGGATTCCAGACAATCACAGGTACAGAATGGCAGGTGCTCCTGAGCCCCAGTACAGCCCCACACACAGGTGTGACAACCAGGAGATTCTGGTTTTGGTGGGTCTTTTTTTGTTAATCTGAATTAATGAGCCCTCAGCTCAGGAAGCCAATTTCAGATAGGAGTAGAATTTGTTGCTTTTATTTTTTTTAAATAAATTAATAACATTTAAGTATACACATACATTTGTCATAATGTATGTATTATAGTACATATATATTCCCATACTGTAGTACAGTATATAGTACAATATATATTACATATGTATAGCATCAGCATAACTCAAAGGTCTGCCTCCTGTAACAGCAAACAACAGACACTTAGGACACTTAGACACACGGTAGATTATTTAAAATACTTAGTAGATATCAACATATTATTGTATTAATATAATTAGTGTTACTAATTATTCGTTACTAATTATTACTCATTTGTTTACCTTTATTTCCTCCCAGTATGGTCCTCCTCGGGTGAACATGAAGTAGTTGTACAGGTCATCCTTTTGATGGGAGAAGTAAGGGTCTGTATAAATGTTTACCATCCAAGGTCTGCCATCGCCACGGACACGTAAATACAGACTGTTGAAGTTTGACCAGTCATAATACTTCTTCCTGGCAAAAGATCCCTACAAATATTAATAAACAGAATTATTCCTTTCATACTTAAAAAGAAATCTCCATTATGAAGAGCGAAGTGCTACTGCTTGAATCACTGCCCTTGTTCTCACTACAAGCAATATCTACTGTGATACAGTGAAAATGGGGTCCTTTTTTATCAGACCAGTCTCATCTCAATGAATTTCCTTCAGCACTGTATGAGAGCCCACAAAACGTAGTATCACCACTCTGAAGATCCATGCATTAGTTATAAATCTTGTAATTAGCAGATTTATATCCTAAGACTAAATCCCCTCCTAGGCAAGAACACAAATTCTGTAATAGCACACCAGGCCTGTAGTTAAGTTTAATATTCTGTGGTTAGCACTAGACTACTCAGAAGAGGTTACAACGTGGGATAATTTATCCCCTATGGTAACTTACTTTCTTTATTGAAGACTGACGTGAGCACTAAAAGCACCTACACATTTTCCAACAGTTTTTGACACTAACTGTGCACAATGATCCGGATTACAAGCACATTCAATCCTCAAATGTATTTTCCAAAGATCTTCCAAGTCCCAAAGTTGTGATTTGCACTCTGACAGATCCAGTAACCTCTGCAGAATGTTACTGAGGTCGCTGGAGCAGGAGGGTGTCATTGGAGATATTCTTGGCCAGAATTGCTCAAACCAAACCAAAATTTGCACCAAAGATCCAGAGGTTTCTCCTTAACTTGATATTGTTACTACAGTTACCTAATTAGCCTTCCTTTTATAAGCTCACAATCAGTAGACAATTAACCCATTAATGCAAAGACTGCGGCTACTTGATTTTCTGATTTGCCAATTTTGACCCTTTTTACTTGAATAAGTCTTTGTATTCATGCTTTCACCTTTTGATCTCAAACTGCATTACAAAGATGGACTGACAGACACTTTGCTACTTCAAAATTAGGAGAAGAAAGTTTGAGTC